AATTTCAACCTTTACAATAGCATTTCTTCTTTCTTTTTCCTTGGTGCAAGGGAAGTTACCAACTGTTTTGAGAACTCGTATTTGGGAAAAGTACATATGTACATGTAGCAAGCTTTTATTTATACTTTTAAAGGGCTCAGGCTCTCCCCAAAGCTCACCAATTTAACTTGGGTTAAAAATTCTATTTCATACTTACTGTATTTACAATAAAGTAGAACACAAACACAATATAATAAAAGGTCTGAAATAGGAGGAAAAGGCTCTTGGTACTCAGGACAATGCAAAAATCATACAGAAGATTTTATATACAAGCACAAAGTTTGTAGCAAAACCAAAAGAATCATGTTTAATTATTTAGGATAGAGATAACATTTGATAATGTTCTCGGAAATTTTCTAAATGGAAGAAAAAAAAAAAAAAATCATCCTTTGATTTTAATGGAAATGACCATGACTATATAGGAGCTGGGAAAAGACGTTTCAAGGAACTACTCACTTTATATAAAACATTTTATTTGTTTACAATGGCTTGCACTTATACTACAGAATGTATAATACAGATAAAAAATCCAAATGAACAAAATTTTTACAAGTGCAGAATACATATAAATATGAATATGCACTAACTATAATTAAACTGTTTTCTCTGAGTTTTAAATATAGGCTAATTTTGTTGTCACCTTGAATAGCACTGTCCTTTGAAAGACACTACCATTTTTTAAGAGATTTAAAAGAATCCATATAAAAAAGATTAATCTCAAATTCCTCTGAATGTATTTGGTGTTGATAAAAGCTTGCCTATTTCAAGACTGGCCTGGGCTTTGGCCCTTAACCTTTCATGCACATGTAGTAAGAAGTCCTATAAAACTGTCAACTTGGCCTACCATCTGTGTCAAAGGTCACTTTTATACTTGAAATTTTATATTATAATGTGTAAAAAGCAAAAAATATCACCTTCGTGTCATTTGATTACTGAAAATTTTCAATAGAAGTTCATTGTGAAAATTTTAGAAAATGCAGAAAAGATAATGATCATGAGTAACAGAAAGGGTCCTAGTGTCTCTTATTTATTTTGCCTGAGCTAAGCATGTGGCATATACATTATTTCACTTAAACTCTGTTTCACTTAACAATCCTATGAGATGATAGGTCTTTTTTTTAAGATAGGTCTATTTTTATCAGTCACATAGCTAGTAGGTGGAAGAGAAAAAATTTAAACCTAGATCTAATGCCAGAACATAAGCTCTTATTCACTAATACATGCTGCCCCCAAAAAAAGATTAAAACTACCTATAATGCCACCAACCAGATATAACCTCTGCTAACTAACATCTCACCAATCCTACTCTAACTTTCCAACAATTCCAAGACTCCACTCCTTAGGTAACCAGTGGTATGGTTTGGTGTATTCTTCAAGAAATTTTTTCCTATGAATGTATATTCATGTATCTACATAAAAACATAATTTGTTAAATTAGAGAAATAATGTCATGCTATATATAATGTTGCTGTGACAGGACACTGAAGTATGGAAAAGTTAAGTGACGTGCTCCAGACTGTAGACTAATCAGAGAAAAATCAGAATTGAAGTGCAGTAAGACTCATTTAACTAAAATGACCCTAAACCTTTAATATTTTTTCTGATTAAGATCTTGTCCTATATCTCAGGATTATCACTACAAAAATAATAAAATCATCTAACATTTATGAGCACTGACTATGAGCCAAGCATTCTTCTAAGTGCTTTATATATATTAGACTGATTTAAAACTATCAACTCCATTTTTACAGATAAAGGAATAGGTAGAAAGGTTAAGTGACTTGCCCCAAATCACACACCTAATAAGTAATACTGTAGACAGAAAAGTGATAGAGTGTAGGATGAATCTATTCTCTTATTTTGGAAATTGATTTATTGAAATCACTAACAGTTGGTTACTCTTTTTCATAAAAATAGAATACGGCTCTATCTCATACTTAATTTACTGCTTTTAGACCTAAGGGCAGTAAGGAATGCTCATGGGATTTACACAGTAACAGGATTAGAGGGCAATATATTTTTGGACTATATTGTGTCCCCTTCAAGAGTTGAACAATAAATCCTGCTTGTGACCCTAGACAAATCAGTAGATCTTAGTTTCCCCACTGTGAGACAATTAACAAACACAATTCCCGGAACATCTCCTTAATCCTGGTAGTTTACTTAACACCATCAATCATCTCCACAGTTGTAGCTGCAAGACCAAAACATACTGTTTGCTTGTAACTTTCTCATATTTTACATACAACAAATGTAACTCAAGGAATAATAAAACTTTAGATATTGTAGAAACTAATGCTATATAATGAATCCCTCAATTTAATATTTCGGCTCCACAGCTATACTCCAGAGTAGCTTTTCCTATCCTTTTAGACTAACCATCAGTGTATTGGTTCGGTTTGATCAACAATTTCCTTTTACATGTAGGACAACAAAGAGTAGTTAGACATGGGTACACAGATGTCAGGTACAAAAAGGCATACCAAGAAAAATACGTAAGTCCATTTCTCACACACAAAAGCTTTATTCTTCCAATCTAAAATACAGGTACCAAAATGTTTTAGTTTAGATAACACAGAAACAACATTGCTGGTTACTCTCTAGATATCAACAGTGGTGGAAGGAACCCCGCAGTCTTTCAGCAGCACCGAAGCACTGAACAATGACTGTACAGTGAATAGCCTGCAGCAGCCTGTAACCCAATTGGTTCTCAAAGCATGGAATCTCAAACAGCAGCTTCAGCATGATCTGATATTTTGTTAGAAATGCAAATTCTTGACCCACTCCAGACCTATTGAGTAAGAAATTCTGGGGGCCCACCAATCCACATTTCGACAAATCCTCCAGGTAATTCTGAAGTAAGTTAAACTTTGAAAACCACTGCTCTAACCTTCAATTTATGATTGTCGCCTCTATGAAACACAGTATTTTCCTAAATTTTCAGGTAATAATGAGTAAAGCAGGCAGATAGGAAGGTATCAGGACACTAGTAGCCTTAACTGTATTACTCTGCATGAATGTACAATAAAATATAATCAGTGGTGTCAGTAAATCCTATGTAAAAGAAATTCAAAAATTTAGCATGATTTCACTTTATAATATTAAAATTTGCATTAAAATGTGAAATGTGTTTGTTTTATGAGTATACTCATTAATTCATTTGGTTATTGTTAATTTTTAATACTATGTAGAGGTAACAGCTTTAACCCTCAGGTTACCATTCTTATCATGGTAGAAACTAATTTTCAGAGCATCTAATAACTTGATTAAAAAGAGCGAATCACTATAAGGTTTCTATGCTTTAAGATTGTTTCAGATAAGACAAGACTGGGTTTTGTTTTAGCAACACTTTGATACTGTGTTTTAGTTTCTTTCTTGCTTTCTAAAAATTATAACCAAGCTTTAGTTTGGTTCAATTCTAATTCAACAACGAATTCGTGCCTGTGGAAAATACTCATAAATAATCACCCAAATAAGACTTTAGCTAGATTAGATTAAGGATGTCAGATGGGCAATCAGGAAGTGAAAGATTAGGCCCCCATGACAGTCATTCTCACTTGCAAATCTGGAAAAGAAAAGGCCTCTGATAGGGTTTTTCCTTCTAAAACTCAAGAAAGCGTTAGAAAATTAGCACACTTACTTATTTTACCTTTAACGCTAAAATTTGCATGAAGACATGCAAAGCATAATATTCCATTGCCCAAGAAGTGTGACAGTATCTCAAAACATGATTCTTCTAATTCTGTGCTGCAGTACCATTTAGAGAGTTATTTTGTTCCTTTTGGAGACAGAAAAGCTGGTTCCTAATACAAAACTGTGATTGATTTAGAAAAGAATGATTATCTGTTAAGAGTGGATGAAGCCCGGGGTTCGATACCCAGAAGAAAAGCAAAATCTCCAAGGTCTTTCAATATTCAAAACTGACCCATAAAATCAACTGTCTCTCATTTTATGAGGTTTGGCCCAAGTTTTCTACTGTTTTGTTTTTTGTTTTACCATGTCTTATCTGGCTTCGAAGGTATATTATACTGACATTTCAGATCATAGCTACTGATACCTTCCCCAGAACTAAGAATCATTTTACTCTGCTGACCCCTCATGCTGTAAATATGTAGTAGTTGTATTCACTGTGGTTTAACATCAATTTTAATGAGCAGGAATAAACAAAAGACCTAAAACCAAGTCTTCCAAGGTCCTTTACTAATGCTATAATCTGTATACTCAGCTAGAGCTGTGAACATTTCTGACACAGCTCTATAGACTCACTGTAGAGAGAGTGTAAAGGATGTTGCCAGGCAACTCATCTAAGTTTGAAAGAATCTAGGCATTGATAATGAGTCTTTCTCAGTTTGGCTCCCACACAAGAAGGGTTTTAGTGAACTCCCACATGTGTTTACAGGCCATTCACAAGAGGTATTTCTAAAACTGAGTATCTGTATCCAAAAGAAGTCCATCTCGGAAACCTGTAATATTTCTTTTTTAATTCAAGTTTAATGGTTCCAGCATCACAAGTATTTTCTATAACTATCCAAAAATCCAATAGGAATTAGACATAAAGGCTGTATGCAAAAGTGTTGCATACAACACTTTTGTGTCTACTGTCGAATGAATATTCTTACTCATATCTTCAACATTCCTGCTTGCACATGGCCCCAGCAAAATTTCTTCAAGTATCTCAAATCATAAAAGTAATCCTACTTACCTAAAACTACTTATCTACCAACATTATCTTAATTCTTTTGAAAAACCTTTGAAATTATTTTCAATACTTACTCTCATTATTGTATCAAAGTCAAAATAGGGCATTCAGTAAAAACTATGTTCTATTAAGAAGAATATGCAATCAGTTGCAAAAGAGTAACATGTTTTTATGAGTAGTATCCATGCAAAATACTGCTCTGCTGGATGGGCCTGATCCAATTCTCCCTCTTTCAAAGCAGACACTTTGCATGCATGCTTACCAGGGCAGTATGCATCCACGTCCAGTTTCTGAGCTGAAGTGAGGGTTGGTGAGCCAAGCTCGGATTCTGGAATTCGTGGGCTCTCAACAAACTTTGCCTTCCTCAGAGGGGCTAAGGACAAAAAGAGAGAGAGCAAGCAAGAGAGAGAGAGAGAGTAAGCAAGAGAGAGAGAGAGAGAGAACAAGAGAGAAAGAAAGAGAAAGGAAGGGAGAGAGAAAAAGGAAAGAGAAACAGGGAAAGAAAAGGAAAAAGGGAAAGAGAGAAACATAGAGGGGTCATGAGTAAGGGGAACAGCAGGCAACAGATGGAAGCACTTAAATGAACGACACACTCTGTCAGACTCAGATCAGGTTACCCTATTTTTTGAGCCAGAAAAAAAACTAACTGCATTCTTCATAGAGGAGATGGGTCTCCTCATTAAAAGTCACTGAAAACTGGAAAAGCTAAAATCTAATACTCAAAACTATTAGCATAAATTGTGATTGTTAGCTTTAGTTATTTTCTCTCTCTTCATAAAGCAAAGAGCTTTCTTACCTTGGCTTCTTTTGCCATTAAATACAGATATTAACTAAGGAAAGCACAAGACTACGTTTTAAAGTTTTGTTTATAATAATTGCAATCAAAAGGTTTTTGTTATCCAGAGATAACTACTCTAATACTCGGTCATGATAAACACCAGAAGTAGGATTAAATATAAGCCACCAGGCCTAATCTACGGAGCTTAACAAGAAAATCAATTACCTTACTTCTCAGCCATTAATATAAGAAGCCAAAACTGTTGGTGGACTAAAATATTAACTAGGCCATGCTACTTTGACAATAGAAGCTAAAGAGATGTGATTTAGTTACCAATGTAATCATGAGCCCTATGGAATAGTAATATTTCATGCCATGGAATCCATTCATTCTCGTAAGGAACAAAGTATAACTCATGAGTTGAAAGTTTTACTTACTGAAAGTATGTATACATTTTATTAATTTTTAGGGGACAATTAAGAAACTATTGACATACATTCCAATAATTAGCTAAATATTTTAAAAGTTAAAAATATAAGGATTGCTTGGGTGCTTTTAAACTGAGTTCTATTAAATAAACTATAATAGGTGAAAGGGCTTAGCACAGCACTGTCACAAAAGTATTAGCTGAATCTGAAATCGATTTGTTTGTATTATATATTAGTGTCATAACCATAGGTGGCCAAGACATGCGAGTGTCTAAGATCACATTATTTTTTTCAAAAATTTCTGCATGTTCTTCAAAATACTCATCCATTACTGACCCACAAGAGATTCTACGTTATTCCTAAAAGACCCTGTAAAAAGTAATATACAACTCTGTCATTACAATGGCCAGAAATCTCCTTCATTTTCTTTGAAGGACAAAAATCAAGTATTAGAAGAATATAGAAATTGTTTTCAAAATGTGTCAGTACTCAAAACCAACAGACAACTAAGTTGAACTTTTAACCTTAGCATATGTATATTTTAAGTGTGTATTAAAAATTAATAATAAAAGCCTGTTACTGTCTCCATGGCAACAAAGGTATAACATTAAGACTCCTAAGAGTATGGTTCTGTCAAAAGTAAGCTTTGGAATAGTAGAACTCTAACCTCTGTTATGAGTGTGAGACTTGAGCCTGTTTTTTAAAAATCATTATCACAAATAAAGATCTCAAGTGATTATATATACATATGCTACTAATAGCCAATATTAGAGTCTCTTTCATTATCATTTCACTAACAGACTTCAAAATAATAAAACAGTTTATTTATTCAATACTGCTTAGTATAGGAAAAAAATGATTATATAGTAATTTAATCCTTAAAGCTCTCAAGTCCTTTACTAGAATTTTATTAAAGCATTGTCATGGCATCAGAATGACTGTTTTACCTGTTGAGTTCTGACAAAGACAGCACAGGTCCCTGCTCAAGGGACTCTATTTTAAAATATTAAAAACATGTTTTTTATAATGAAATTTAGGGCCAGTAGACAGAGCAGAAACTTAGGGTAGAAATGTAAAAAAAAAATTGAAGGATGGTAGGAGAACTTAAGGGAGGTCAGAGGAGAGTACAAGAATTATGAGATGAAGTCAGGGGAAAGATCGGAGTTCTAGAGATCATACAGAAAAAAGGAAACAGCTGAAGACTGTGAAGAGAGTATGGACTATACGGTGTTAATCAAATTAAATAGATCTGGTAAAGGAAAAAAATAAAACCTCTTACTAAAATATACAATTCTCCAGCAAAGAGAGTTATTTTAGATCTATGAAGCTCAATATACACAAACTTCATTTTCCCTTCTCAGGAAATTCCAACTGAGGTTATCTTTATATTTTACAGGAGACATTTATTCTTCTATCTACTCTTAACCTCTTCCCTCATCCATGGGGTCCTGTGCATGTCTAATAATAAAGTTAAATTCTTTTATAAGGTAAATGATAATGGTGTTCTCATCCAAGTCATAGAAAACTAGTGTTATTTGTAAGTCAGTCAAACACAGGAGGCACAATCACAGATATGACAAGTTGTACAATAGTCATAATATTGCTTGGTGGAGAACATAAAAGGGCAAGTTGGAAGATGGGCCACAATATTTTACCTGGAAGCCTAAAATTTTAATGTGCTTCATTGTAAAAAATGGTACATAAGATGATTCATGTAAGAGAATTCCGCATTAAAAGGCTTTCTCTGATACTTGAAAGAAAGTTGTTGAGATGAGATGGGTAGGAACAATCTGAAGCCCAAACCTCGCATTTTATTGTGATGTAAGAGAGAACAGAAACTACTGCTCAAAGAAGTGACTGGAATGACACTGGGAACATCGATTCCTACACCCTCAATGACTTGAGTTACAGAATCCAGCAGAGGTCGAGCCAATGGATGCACACTGGCTTGCAGGATAAGTAGAGTGATCTAAAAAAATCTAAGTCTTGATTCCAGCACATATTAGTAGTAAGAAATTGGACAAGTTATTTAGCCTTACCAAGACTCAGTTTGCTCATAAAGTCATAGTATTGTTATGAGCTTAACTAATTCAAAACATGTATAAGTATTTAAGCACAGTGCTTGGATACAGTGATATAGCTCACCTATTAAGTTTATTACTACATGGAGTAGTGAGGGCTATGGCTACAGAAAACAAAGTAAGAAAGTCATTTCAGACATACTATAGAGGCAGCATAACATGGCAGCACAGTAGTGAGGAGTTTGAGAGTGTAGGAATGAAGGGTAAGGGCTCTGAAACCAGAAAGGTTAGATTCCCATTTCTTTCATTTTCTTCCTAACTGTAAGAACCTTTCTGCGCCTGTTCCTTTCATCAGCTATTTTGGGTTAATAACATCAAAGACAATTTATGAGCGTTATATTAATTCAAATAAAATCCTCAAAACAGTGCCTAACACAGAATAAATGTTCTATAAACACTAGCTGTTGTTATTGTTTTTGCTGCTGTCATCACTGTCATCACAGATTCAGCATGATTTAGAAGTCTGAATTAATTGTGTGTATATGTTGAGGCATGGGAGTAGTAAAACAAAGAGGTCTAAGGGGATGAGAACTGATATCACCAATGATTATTTTTTAATTGAGAAGGGAATAATGCTGAAGAAAATATAATATGTTATGCCTTAGTAGAGTATCCAAATTAAACTGGTCTAAGTTAGACAACAACAAATATGCGGTACAGAATGGAAGTTAAACAGTATTCTTTAGACCATGGGTTCGCAAAATGTGGTGTCTGGACTAGCAGTATATCACCTGGGAATTTATCAGAAATGCAAATGATCAGGCCCCACCCCAGATAAGCTGAATCAGACACTTGGAGGGTGGGGACCCAGCACCTGTATTCAGCAAGCCCTGCAGGTGATTATGCTGCACACTAAAGTTTGTGAACACTGGATTAGAGAATCTACAAACACCACATGCAAGCTGGTCATTAAGAGAACTTACATAAGAAAAAAAGCTGTAATGAAATACAAATCAAGGCCTCATCTGTGATCATATCAACATGTGTGGTAAAAGTTAGAATTTCTTTTCTTTTTTCCTTTTTTAAAAATTATTATTTTGTGTGTGTGTGTGTGTGTGTGTGTGTGTATGTATGTGCATGTGTGTGTGACAGGGTCAGGGTCTTGCTCTGTCACCCAGGTTAGAGTGCAGTGCTGTGATCTCAGCTCACTGCAACCTGCAACCTCATCCTCTCAGGCTCAAGTGATTTTCTCACCTCAGCATTCCGAGCAACTGGGACCATAGATGTGTGCCACCATGCTCGGGTAATTTTTGTATTTTTTATTTTTTTGTAGAGACAGGGTTTTGCCATGTTGCCCAGGCTGGTCTGGAACTCCTTGGGCTCAAAAGATATGCCCTACTCAGCCTCCCAAAGTGCTGGGATTACAGGCATGAGCCACCCATGCCTAGCCACTTTATTTTCAGTCATTCTTTTACCAATTTAACTCTCGTGTTGTTGTTGAGTTTTTTAAAGAGTCCTAAGTTATACAGTATTAACCATATGGGGTCTATTTTGAAGAAAGAACAACACTATCTATACTCACGAATTCTTCCCATGATCACTTGGGAGGCAGGTGGTTGAGAGGGATAAGAGCAATCAGATGTATCTCACAGGAATGTCAATGGTGAAAGAGAAAACCCACCTATCAAGGTTCCTCTGTAAACTGAAACGCCGTAAATAATGTTGAAGCATATCTAGTCCAAATAAAGACATTAAAATGAGAATTTTAAATAATTACTAAGGTATTTGTCTTTAGTGAAGGTTTCATAGCAGAAGGGATTTTTTAGGAGGAATATGGCAGAAGACTCAGATAATCATGAGACAACAGTATAGAGGCAGACCAAATGAAAGCAAAGATCAAGAAAATGGAAAATGACAGATAAATAAAGACAGGAAGAATCGTATAAAGTACCAAGAAAATATTTTCACAAAATCGCAATTGAGATTAAAAAGTCTATTTCGTAATGTTAATCTAAAGATAATAAATATTAATTGTCCAATGTGGTAGGAAAATAAAAATTTTTGTGTAGGCAAGAAAAAGAAATACAAGGCATCCAAAGTAGAAAGGAAAAAGTAAAATTATCTGTTTGCAGAAGGCAACTTATAC